AATTTTAATATAGTGTTATCTAAATTTAACTATTATTAAAAGATTTTATCTCTCATCTATAACTTACATGTTTGTTTATTAGATGCATTTTTATTATTATTATTATTTTTATTATTACGTAAATTTATAAACGTATCTGAAACTTCTAATATATTTTTGTTATTATTTTTCAGTTACTTTTATTTATAATTATTGTTTATTAATAAAGATAACAAAAAAGAAGAGAATTTTAAAGCTATATAAATATTTTATTATCTATCTTTGTAAACAAATACAAGTTCTTGATTAATTTCTTTTTGATATATTATATCTTTATTGAGAAAAAAAAATATTTTTTTAAAATAGTTATGTTATTATTATTATTATCTTAAGATAGAAAAAAAAAGATGAAGAATCTTCAATATTTATCTTCTTTTGTAAAATTTCTTTATTAGAAAAAAGTATCTTGAATAATTTCTTATATAAGCTATATTTCATAATTATTAGTTCTAGTTTTGTTATTGATAAAAAAAATAAGTTTAGATAAGTTAAACTTAAACTTCTTTTAGAATTTCAGTAGAAAAGGAGTATTTTTATCATATTTAAAGTTTATTTTTCTTATAAGAAAAAAATAGCAGAATGTCTATAACTAAAAAAATCTATAATAATCTTATTTTTTATTTTGATAAAAGTTTCTAGCAATTTAAGTAATTTATTAAAAATATGATTATTTTTATTAAAAAAGTATTCAAATTTTTTAGAAATTAAATTTTTGTTATTTTGTATATTTTTTGATATATTTAGATAAGAGTTTTTTTTATTTATATAACTTAGATTATTTTTTTTTAATATGATACTATCATAAGTTTATTAATTATATTATAAAATTTACAAATAAAAATAATTATAAAAAATAATAAAAATAAACTATAACTATTTCTTATAACTATATTATAAATCTATTTAGATTAACCAATCACTAGAAATTTCTTTTTAGAGAAATCAACAGATCTATATCTGATAATTAAACTGTTACTAAAAAATTCAAATAATATATTATTATCAAATTAAAAAATTAGACTATGATAAAACCAAATTTAAGAATTATAGATAATTAAATCTTTCATATAAAAGAGGTTAAATTGCGATTTTAGGAATTAAATTCATTTAAATTTACTTCTTTTTTTAAACAAACTGTAATCTTCTTATTTCTTTTTAATTCTATCATCTTTTCACATCAAAAAATTCAAATTTTATCACAAAATTTAAAAATAAAAAAATTATAAATTTTAATTAAAATTAATTTTGAGTTAGATAATGAAAAAATTTTCTTAAAAAATGCAGAAGTTTAATAGAAAAGATTCTTTTAAATAATAAAATACATAATCAGAGATTTAGTAAGAGGCTGAAGAAATTAAGTAACTATTATCAAAAAGAATGATATAAGTTATTATGATTATTATTTTTTTCTAGTTTATTTCTGATAATATTATCTAAAAAATCTTGTATAGATCTACAAATTAATATAAGTTTATTAATTGTAGTAGAACTAAAGTTGCTTGTCTAAACTCATTTTAGATTTAGTAAAATATCTAAACTATAATTTCACTAATTTTTTACTAAGATTTTAATATAATTTCATTAAATTTTACGTTTTCTATTTAGACAAATTGCAAAACCTCTAGATTTTGTTTAGCAACTTTAGGTAGAACAGTTTCAAAAGTTGATAATCTTCTTTACTTGTATTACATAATACATAATTCTAGTTTTTATAAATATTAGAATATCTTATTTTCAATTTGATAATAGTGAAAAGTTCTTCTATTAAAGACTTGATTTTAAAAATCTTTTTATCTTTTTGCATAAATAAAGTAGTAATTATTATATCATTATTATTAGTAAAGAAAGCAGGCTAGTTTATCAAAACAAATCTAGTAAATTGAGCAAGTGAAAAGTTCCTATTGAGGTTTAAGAAAGTGAAAAACTATGTGATTGCATTAAGATTTTTCCAAAATTTTTTTGCTGATGATTCAATAGGGATATTTTGATAATTAAAGTAAATCTATAAATCTTCAAACATTATAATTTAGACTAAAAAAAGGTCTCAAATATTCTGCTTAACTAAAATATTAGCCTTTTTATTATAGAAATTACCTAAATAATCTTTTATTTTAACAAGATATACTATTAGTTATAGAATCTTCATGCAATATATCAACATTTATACTATATAGTTAGAATTTTTCTTTTATTCTAATAGTAATATCTTTCATAACAATGAATTTATTGAAATTATTAATTATAGTTTGACTATTTAGAAAAATTGTGAATGAAGATTGTACAGGATAAATGATAATGACTGAAAAAAGTGCAAAAAGTTTAGCTTAGATTGAAGATAATGAGTTGAGAATTACAGTAAAAAATGAGGATTAAAGAGCTTAAGAAAGGTTAAAATATATTTATCTAAGGCCTATTTTACATTCAATAGATAAGAAATTAGTTAAAGAAATATTGGTATAAAAAAAAAAGTGTTAAAAAATTAGCAGTGTAGTGAGATTAATAAGCTTCTCTTGATATAATTGATTTAAAATACATTTTCTGATCAGATTTTCATTTTTAATAATAATAAATAATTTAATTATAATTACTAATTACTAATAATTTTAAATATTTAATTTATTTTTTTGTTTGATATTTAGATAAATATCAAATCAATGATTTTAAAATTTTAAATTTTAAAATAATAATTAAATAAATAATTTTAAAAATTAATTTAAAATATGATTTAATTTAATAAATCAATTTTAAAAGTATTAAATTAATATTAAAAAATTTATAACATTTTTTTTTATTATTTAAAAATTTATATTTATATTATAATAATATAATTATTTTATATTTATTAAGTATTTTTATAATGATTTATTACTAAAAAAAAAATTGTTAATTTACTTCAATTTGAAAAATATTATTTGATAATTAAATTATAAATTATTTTAGATTTGTATTGATTTATTTTAATATTTTATTATATAAATCTTTTTTATTAATAATCTTTTTAAGATTTTTATTTGTATTTTAAAATACCAAAAAATATTCTTTAAGATCCAATTTTCTTATAATCCTATTATAATTTATAATAAAAGATTAAAATACTTTTTAAAAATAAAAAAATTCTTATTTGTTTCTTATTTCTCAAAGCTGATCAATTTGCTTTATACTATATTTGTTTATTCTTTTGTTTTGTTAAATTAGTAATACTTGCTCTAATAAAATAATTTTTTTAAATCCTCTTTTCTTTGAGATTGAAATTTTTTAATTTATTGATAAACGTTTTTTGACAAATGTCAATTCGTAACCTTCTCTGCACGTTTGCTCCTAAGATAATTATCAAAATTTTTTTCTTTTTTGATATCAGCCTTTTTGAAAACTTATGAACTTGGTTATATAATAATATTTTTTTAATGAGTCTTATCAGGTCTGTGTACTATTTCTTCAAGTTTTTCACCAAGTTTAATTAAATTTCCTCGAATAACACGAGGATCACTATTATACATTTTTCGTAGTTCAGATATTACAACCGGATTGGTGTCAAAATGCATTAACCAAAAGCTTTATTTTAAAACGAAGTATAAAAACATTAATTTTTAAAAAATATTTCAAAACAAATATATAATAATTAACGTACTGTCCACGATCGTGGTACTCTTGGTGTCTCCGTGTTCTTGTTGGTAATGGAACTTCTCCCCAATTCTCAAACCCTCTCACAACTCCACCTCGTTCCAGAACAAGTTTAGCCGACTTTCGAACAAGGTCTTTAAAGTTTGCCTTTTTATAGTAATATATTAAATTAGATTTGGGAATGGTTTTTAATGGTAGTAATTTATATTTACCTCCATCAAACCAGCTCTAGATATACAAAGGAGTTCATAAAACATTTTAAAATTCTTAAAAAAAAAAAAAAAAAAAAAATTTCGGATTTTAATTCATCTATTTTTGTGTAACCACCAAACATTTTAACCTACTATCAAAAAGATTGTCCATTTTGAACAAGCTAAATTCTTAAAATTTTTATACAATGGCAATGTCTGCTACAAATCAGCTTCTTCCGCTTGGTATGCATTATATATATATGTTCACTGTACCGGGCAACTTAACATTTGAACTTTTTTCTTTATTTTACCTAGTTTTCTAAATGTATATTTTACTTAATATTATAGAACTAATTGACAAATGCATTGGTTCTAAAATTTGGGTTATTATGAAAAGTGAACGAGAATTTACCGGAACGTTGTTGGGTTTTGACGACTACGTCAGTATCCTTTTGAATTATCGCGTTGCTTTTTAAGTTTTTATAATTTATTACGATCTTTAACATTAAATGATAAAATCAGATATGGTGTTAGAGGATGTAACAGAATAGTAAGTGAATTCAATTGATTCTAATTTTAAATGGACGCAAATAGATTTCTAGTTTATATTTTTTGGGAATTCTAGTGAAAATACGCCAGAAGGCCGCAAGACTACAAAACTTGACAAGATCCTGTTGAACGGGAATAACATAACTATGGTAAGTGTAGCCATCTATTCTATAATTAACTTTCCTTGGATCTAATTTTTTTATTTTATTTTAACAGCTCATTCCCGGTGGCGAAGGACCAGAAAATTAGAACAATTTTATTCTTACTAATAGAAATCTGCGTTAATGATATAATAGCATTTATACAATTTTGGTTTTAGCATATGGATAATTTCACCTAATGTTTTTTACATTTTGAAAATGTCGAAATGATCCGATGCCATATAATATAAAGTTGTGTCAATTGTATATTTTTTGTTAACAGACAGATAACATGCGAACCTTATAGTATCAAATAAAATGAAAATCATTCGCGTTATTAGGTTCTACCAAATTACCAAATTAGTACCATGCAAGATTATCAAATATCAAATATTGAATTATTTTGTCAAAGTTATATATTTTCAATTTTTTTTTTTTTTTTTTTTTTTTTTTAAGAAAAATGTTATTATTCGAATCGGACAAGAAACAAAGCAAGCAAAAACGATATTCTGAATTTCAAGCTATCGTTCTATGTGGTTACGGAAACAAGTATATATATATTTATTTTTCATGTACTGCTTATTCGCCTGAATTGTTCTTAAAAGGAGAAACTTGTATCAATAGGCTTTATCCGCTTACCGAGGATAATAATGTGCCTAAAGCTTTGCTTCCAGTAGTTAATAAACCGATGTTACACTATGTTTTAGATTGGTTGGAAAGGGCTGGGATTACCGGTAATTAAATTAATTTTATCAATGGTTTTTTATATTACTCTTCAATTAATAATTTAAATAATAGATGTAATAATCATTTCGGAATCAAGTGGAGAACATAAAATTGGTCATTATATTAAGAATGACTATGAAGGAAAATTGAAACCAAGTTTAGAAATAGTGAAAGAGGATGTAGGAACTGCGGATGCATTGAGAACAATTAAGGATAAAATTAGGGTACTTTAAAAAAATTTTTTTTTTATTTCATTAAAGGACTTTTTGCATTTGCATTTATAATTCATACATTTTAAATTAGAACGATTTCATTGTAATAAGCTGCGATTTGATTCTTGATTTACCTCCTCACCGATTTTTGGATTATCATCGTACACAAGAACCTGCTTTTACAGCACTGTTTTATGAACCTAATAAGTCAGAGGGTGGTGGAGGAAGTGGTAATAATTGTAAGGACGATGGTAAGTTTTTCCTTGTATTTTAATGTTTTAAATTACATTTATTATTCTTATGGAGTTTTGACGTTAATTCAAAAGATTTGAAGCAATTTGTCGGTGTTGACATGAATCGATCACGCCTTGTATATGTTGCTTCCGGAGCGGATTTGGATGAAGAATTTTCATTGCGTATGTCACTGTTATGGAAGTGCGTACGTGTATTTTGAAATAATAACTCTTATAATAAGGATGATTCCCTGGTGGTATACTCATTTTGGAATTTAATTCTAGGTTTCCACGCGTTAACATACTTACTACTTTACAAGATTCTCATCTTTATATTTTTAAGAAATGGGTAATCGATTTAATTGTACAGAGAAAATCAATTTCTAGTGTTCGAGAACATTTAGTCCCATTACTTGTAAAATGTCAATATCAGAAGAAATTATTAGAAAGGGAGGGAATAGATAATTGTAAGGCTTTTGATCTTTATGAAATTATGTTATTTTTGATCATTTAATGTGTATCTAACATTTTTTTTCTTAAAAATCATAATGCTAGTGGCTAAATCACAAGTAAATTATCAGAAAACCGCTCTTGAATATTCTACTACGTGGGATGAAGAGGATGAGGATTCACCTGTTCGCTGTCAGGTTTACATATATAATACTGGATTTTGCGGACGTGGAAACACTGTAGCGAAATATTGTGACTTGAATCGTTACGTATGTTGAATTTCCATTTAACTTTTTGAATGTTGAACATTCATAAATTTTTCTAACTTGTTGAAGTATTGAATAATTTTAAAGATGATGAAAGTTAGCACTGAAACACGCGTTTCTCCGTCAGCAGAAGTGAACACCAAGACTCAAGTGAGATATAATTCATTCTTTAAGATTATTCTTAATAATTAATTAATAATTATTATTGCTAATTTTTAAAAAAAGGTTGGATCGGATTCATTTGTAGGTGATGACACTAAAATTGATGAACGCACATCTATAAAACGTTCAACTATTGGGTCACATTGTATTATTGGCAAAAATGTCAAGATTTCAAATTCTGTTTTAATGGATAATATTATCATCGAAGATTAGTAAGTTGATATGATCTTCTTATTTATTTCCGATTCCTTATTTTACTGATTGCTTTCATTTAATAGTGTTAAATTGGATGGATGTGTTGTTTGTAACGGCTCCAAAATAATGGAAAAATCTGTATTGAAAGACTGTGAAGTTGGTGGTGGTTATGTTGTAGTGTCAGAAAGTACGTATATCAAATTCATCTTAATTCTAATATTATTGATTGTACTTACATTTCTAATTAATATTTTAGCACAAACCAAAAACGAACAACTCGTCGAATTCCGAGATTTAAGTTAAAAAAAAAAATTTTATTATCATTTAATTATAAACTTGATGTAAAAAGTAAAATCTTATTTAAATTATGAATAGAGATTATAATTTTATAATTTTATTGTAAATTTTTTTATTCATAATTTTGATTTCATACTGCGCATCGTATAATATAAAAAAAAGGTTTAAATCATTGAAAATCTAAAATATTTGCCATGAACAAAATTTCTTGATTGTCATTTCTAATTCAAATAAAGAATTATCATTGAATTAGTGTTTACTCCATAAATGGATTTTGAGCATGATATTAGAACCTATCTAACCTAAAGTTGAAAAGTGGGAATTGTGTAACATGCTCGGTAAAGTTTATGCGACCCAAATTCCCAAGGATCAAATTATACATAGGTCTTTTTCAACAAAATGCTCCGCTTAGCAACTCCAACACGCGCTTTGAAAAATTTCTATACTTCGACTTTAACTCGAGGTAGTTCCTCTGGGCTTATTGTTAAAAGGTCTAAATACACGCTTCCGGACCTTCCTTATGACTACAATGTAAATATTTTTCGAATTCATTAATGCAAAAAGTGAAATGCAAATAGTGAAATATATTCCAAATAAATTCTGGATGATTTGCAAAAAGATTAAATAAATAAAAAATTCTTTTTCTTATTATAGGCTCTTGAACCCATTATTTCTGCGGAGATAATGCAAATTCATCATTCTAAGCATCATCAGGCCTATGTTAATGGATTAAACCAAGCCGAAGAAAAACTCGAGGATGCCTTTAAAGGAAAGGATGTTACCACACAAATCGCGATACAATCTGCATTGAAATTTAACGGGGGAGGTAGTGTCAAGATTGATTGATTTTGTTTGATCATTTTCAAAGATTAAATCTAATTTGATTTGTTAATTTAGGACATATTAATCATTCTCTTTTTTGGAAAAATCTCGCTCCAAAGAAAGGAGATGGTGGCGAACCTCCAAAGGGTACATTCATTATCTCAATCATCTCAACAAGTTTTTGAGATTTTTTCAACTTAAATTCACGTGCCTTATTTCTTTTTCCCACAGGTGATCTTTTGAAAGCGATTAAAGATGAATTTGGGTCACTTGAGGACTTCATTAAGAAATTCAACGTTCAAACGGCCGCTGTTCAAGGTTTGATTCATACATCCTTTCAATTAATTTTTTAAATTATATAATATCTATAAAAAGAATATTAATTTGACATTTTATCTCATCTAGGTTCTGGATGGGGTTGGTTGGTAATGTATTATATGGAAAAAAAAAAAATCAAGTCAAATGAAAATTTTCTGTGCTAAAATACATTTCATTTCTTAGGGTTATAATAAATCAACCAAACGTCTTGAAATTGTGACTCTCCCAAATCAAGATCCGTTAACAAGTAGAATTATGATATTTTTTTTTATTCTTAATACTTTCTTCACCTTTAAATAAAAAAAAAATGTATATATTAATAATTTTCTTTATGTTCCAATAGCTCATGTACCTCTACTTGGAATTGACGTTTGGGAACACGTATGTTATATTCAAGATCATTTCTTTGATACTCTTACTTTAAACATATACATAATTTTCATTTTCTGAAAAAATCTTGTAGGCATATTATTTACAGTATAAGAATGCCAGACCTGATTACTTGAAAGCAATTTGGGAAGTTATCAACTGGAAAACTGTTGCTGACAGATTTGCTAACGCTAAATAAAGCGAGCACGCATTTTTTTTTTTTTTAAAAAAAAAAAAGATTTCAATAATGGTTATGATACGAATAATTGAATCATGATAAAATTATCATTTTCCGTAATTTCGTGATTTATTTGCCACCAAATATTTCTTTTCATTTCATTTTTCTTTTTTTTTTTTGGGTTTTTTTTTTTTGTTTATCAAATAAATTACATAAAAGCTAGGAAAACTTTACAAATAAAAGTATAATTACATGCAAGTATAATAAGAAAGTTAATGTTCAGTTAAAATTTAATTCACGGAGAAAAAAATTTTACTGCACATGAACTATCAAATTAAGGATGAAAAAATTGTAAATGATTCATGAATATATTTTTATATGTGTGAAGATATAGATGCTTCAACTTCAGACGGATTTGAAGTGTGATCAACCCTGCTACTACCTTCACCGATAACATTCTTATCATCATCATCATTATTACTAGCAATTTTCCCCTTCTTATTATTATTATTCCGTTCTGCCATTTCTTCTACATCCTCGCGACACATTGGGCATTTTTTATTTAATCTAAGCCATTCATCTACACAATCTTTATGAAAGTGATGAGAACACCATAAATGTCTTAATTCTTCACCATCTTCATAAGATTCTAAACAAATTGAACAAACAGCATCATCAGAATTTGGAATGGTAAGATATTGTGAAACTGTTGGGGGTGAATTGGTTAATGTTCCTTTGCTATTTCTGCCGAAAAGGAATTTAAATCGAGGTTTTTTACGTGTTGACGATGGTTGTGGTGTCATAGGTGGGATTTGTGGTGGTGGTATGGTTATAACAGTATCAGGTGATTGTTGTCCTTCATGTCTTTCCCCAGATGCTTTATATTTCACCAAAGGTATCTTTTGAATAACATCATCTCTTGCACCACTAATTCCAACCGCTTCACTAACATTTAACACCCTCATTGCTACCAATACGCACGGCAGGCAAAATATAACAGCCAAACATAATAATATTGGGATTGTAATAATAATGTATCCGAGGATAACCCATGTTAAAGAAAGGTAAAAAACTGGTGGTGAAGTTTGGTGACATGATGAGGTGGTGAAAAGTAAGTAATTGCCAAAAATAAACCATAAAGTAGCAAAGAGATCGAGAAAAGATTTTAGTCTATTATTTTACATTATAAAAAAAAAAATTGTTAAATTATTTCTTTTTCTTTTTTTTTAAAAAAAAAAATAAATAAATCATAATTATATATATAATTATAATGGTAATTACTCACCGATCAACCCATCCATCCCTTCTTTGATTTTCATTTTCATTTTGATTTTGACCATTTCGTCTGTTATCTCTAGGATTTAAATATAAATATACATTGACTGGACATGCAACTATTACCCTAACAATATACAACATAAGAAACACCTCTAATGGCCTATCACATTTTAGATTACGTGAAATTACAAGAATTACTATAGTTACAACAACCTTTTTTTAAAAAGAAATTATTTGAACAAAGGTTGGTTAAGTTTACAATATGTTTGAAACCAAAATTTGTTTGATAAAATATACATACCTGAATAAGAACCATTATTAAATTTAGAATTAATAACATCTTGGAAGTTCTAGATATAGATCTAAAGCTATCAACAATATACCCCCACCAATTCCGTCTGACCCGTCTTGAACCTGCTGCAGTTGCCCTTACGGACGTCGTAGCAAAGGAAGACGTTGGTCCAGAAGAAAAAACTGAAGATAATACTGCTCTTGATTGTCCTCTGGATCCAGGTGAAGTTTGTTCATTAGAATTATTAGAATTGTCATTATCCATGTTGTGGAAACTTGAACCACTATTCGTTACTAAAGTATTTGGTAAGGATATTGAATGTTCAGATGATTGTGTAGTAGACCTCGTTATACTTGCAACTTCGTTATCATTTGCTGAAGTTTCACGAGGATGACCCTCCATTAATAAATAGTTGAATAACGTAACAAGTAAAAAGTAAAAGGAAAAATAAGTTCTTTCGTTCTTTTTGTTGTAGTGTCACGGGACTATCAAATAAGTTGGCTGTTCAAAAAAAAAAGTTGTGATACGTTTGTAAATTTATAAAATATAATAATGTACCTTTAAGGGTCTTTTATACAAATCTAAAATCTAAAAGACACGGAAATAAATGGGGGAAAAAGAAATTTATTTTGTTTGATTCATTATGATATCGGCGCAAACTAATTTAATTGTTTAATTAAATTTCAAACGAAAATCTTAATTGATGTAATAATTACGTTTCAAAATTTCAAATCAATGATAACAAAAAGACAATTCATAGAATAATAATCCAAAAAATGGGCATGTTTATGTATATATATAGTTATAGTAATATCATATTAAAGCTACTTAATCTTTTTTGTGTAACAAACCAAATCCGATCAATATTTTTTTATGGTATTTTTTTTTTTTAGTCGTCTACTTTAAAACCTATCATTACTAATAAATCCATATTAAGTAAAGTCCTGGTATTTTTCATAACACTAATTCAACTAGGAAACGGTTTCAGAAACCATGGTAAAGTCCGGGCATAACGATCAATATATTTTTGGAACTTGGATTTACGCTAGTAATATTTTTTTTTTATTTAAACAAAAAATAAATGAAGTTTTACTACAAACTAAATCAAAAATTTGCATAATTTTTCATTTATACTGTATACATAAATTTCTTTGCAAATAAAAGTGTTATTTATACTTTAAGAAAATTTGTAAAGCTACCAGTTTTTATTAATATATTAATAACATTTTAATTTGATAAGTATAGTTTCAATTTCATATGTAGCAAAAAAATACTAATTTATTCTTCAAAATTATGAAAATCCTTAAAGTACTCTTATTGCAACATAATAGAATGTTGCTACTGCTTGGTTTATTTAAACATATCATTCCTAAGGATATCAAACAGTAAGATACAAGTTAATAAGTTTACTTGAAATTAGGGCGAATCATATTATTTCTTTTAGTTCATTAAACTGTTTCTAAACTGTTGATTCCTCAAGATACACGAATAATAATTATTTAATATAAAGATGTTTTTATTAAAAAATGAATTAATACAAAAATTCCTATTGTATTATTATAAAACTATCAATTGTAGATCTAAACTAACTAACTGATTCCCTTTATTTAGTCTAAAACTGCTAATATTTATAAAATTTCATTAAGCCATCCAAGCCATAATAAAAAGCTGGCTAATTCTACTTTTCTACCAGATTTCAGTTATTTTTTTATTTGTATTTCTGTTTTCTATTCCTATTTTTTATTTTTGTTTCCTGGTTTCTTTCATATTCCATCTTCTTATATTTAAATATGATTAATTATAAGTATTTGATTAATTACATCATTTAACTAATTATATCATTATGATTATATAATTTAATACTTTGCCTATTCTAATCATATCTGTCTAACAAATATCTATCTTTTATTATGCTATATCACATGATTTACTTTACCTTAATCAATATATCATTTTATATAATTATTATTTTGCTATCTAATAAATTATTTTTTAATAATTAATTTCTAATAAATTGTTATTTGATAATTAGTTCTATAACAATATTGTATTCAAATGCATTGATAATTTGATTGAGATAAGTTTTGTAAAGTTTTTTCAGTATTTTTTTATGTTGATAGTAACATTATAAATAAGCTTCCTTTATTTCTTTATATTCTATATAATACTTATTATATCAATATAAAAATAATGAACTTGAAACCCAAAATTTTTATTAAGTATCTCTTTCATTCTAGCTAATTAGAGATATTAAGCAGTCTTTAATTGATTCTTATAATTAAGAAATTATTAATTTAAGAAAAATTTAATCATTTATATATAATAAATAATTCTATCAAAAAATATCATAAAAATTTTATAATTAATTTGTAAAAAGCAAAATAATATTTAAAATTGGTAATTTTAATGAGACTGCTAAATATAAGACTGACTGGTCTTAAGTTCTTAAATTTTAAATTTTAAAAAATTCTGAGATTTTAAGAGGGTTTATTATACATTTTCATTTAGTATTTCATTAAAATATTATAATAGATAAAGTTTCATAATAAGTTTATAAATATAATTTTTTATAATTTTCTTAAAACTTTTAGGACCACTTAATATCTCTATAGTTAATTGGTTATTATTATCACTATAAATGATTCTTTTTATATTATTATTATTTAAAAATCTTTGATTAATTTATAAATTAAATCTAATCTTAAATTTTTATAATTTTAAATTTTTTAAGTTTTTTTTTCAATAATATATAAATTAATAATTGAAGTATCTAAAACTTAAAAAAAATAATAGTATTTAAATTTAAAATACGATTAATTGTATTAAATAGTAACTTTATAATTGATCTGTTATATTTACACTATTTATATTATAATTATAATCATTAATAATAGATAGTAGGTATTAGTATAATTTTACAAGAGGAACCTTCAAATATTTTTTTAACTTTTTATATTATTAAACTCATCTTCTAAGTTTTTTATATTATATAATATTAAATATTGTAACAGAACTATTATTTACTCATAGTATTGCTAATATATCATCAATAATAATACTAATTAGAAAATCTTAATCATTTGATTTATTCTTTCTTTTCTTAATACTATAGGAAAACTTGCTGTTTTAATAAGATAGTTATATATAATGATAAAAAAAATTCTAATACATTGATAGATTTCTTTGGTATTTTAAATACTTTTTAATTTTATATTTATAAGATTGCTTAATAATTAGTTTCTTATTTAGAGATCATTATTTTTAATTAAAAATTTTTTTAAAAATTAAAAATAATAAGAAAGGAAAAAAATTTTAATATTAGTAATACAAAAAGATATATATTTACTTACCTGATGATCATATTTCATTTTACATAATTTAGATCAAATTTGATTTGATTGAGATATGTATATTTTTATTTTATAGAAAAATTCATAATTGTTATTATTCTACACTATATTTGTTGAAATTAAATTAAATATATTAATTTTATAATACTATAGTTTAGATAAATTTTATTATTTTTCCAATAATTTTCAATTAATAGAAATTTAAACACATTTAAATATATGATTATAGTCAGCTATATTTTTAATTTACAAATAATTAATTTTTTTTTAATTTCATCTTTTAAATAAATTATTTCTTTTAATTCTATGATAATAAGTATAAATATTTGTATTTAGATAATAGATTTAAGTTATTAAGATAAAAAAATTGAGAAAAAATCATGTATAAAATTAAGTTTTTGAATAAATTTTTTATATTTACATTATGCAATTAATAAACATATTGAAAGTATATAAATTGTATAAATTCAAGTGATTCATTTATTATTTTTTTCTTTTTTAGAATTATTTTTATAACTATCATCTTTATCTACAAAATTTCACTTTTAAGTAAAATGATAAATATAATATTCAATATTCTCTTTATTAAGTTATTTATATATTATTTAAAAGATATTTAAAATGTACATAAGAAAAAAATAATCAAATTTTAATTATTAATTTTTTTGTGTAATATAATAAAATAATATATAAATAATAAATTATACAGGTGAATTTATCTACATAATTGTTACATGTAGGCAAATTTACCTGCATTATATATACTGAATAAATTAATATTTAGTAGTAATTTATAGTAATAAGGGGATTTATATATATGACGTAATTATGGATTAATATAAAATTGAACTCCTCCCTTCTAGTGAGATTATGATATCACATGATCATAAATTTCGACTAATAATCATCACGAGTATTACACATGATTAGAATTAATAGTAATTATACTAAAAGATATGTAAAATATATATAAGTGAAATGAAATCAACCTTTAGGGTCATTTTATTTATTAATATAGTATAAACTAAGTTAGTTAACATTTATACTACATACATACTAAGTATCTTGAATTTGTTATACATAATCTAGTATATTTTTTCATGAGCATGCTGATTATAAAATTAATCATCATTATGATACTAATTAATGCATTTTTTACCTAATGTACATTCTGATATTCGCTTAGCTAGAGATTCTTCAACTTTCCTATACCTAAAAATTTTAGTGTTAAATTATTTAATAAAATAAGTGCATGACTTACCTTGCTTTTTTTATTTCATTTCTATCACTGAACATTCATCATTTTTCATTCCTAAAATAATTTAATAAAATAATAAATTTGAGTGATATAACCTAAACAGTTTAAAATCATATTGTTCTTTCATAACTACATACATATGACTCATCGTCAAAATTTAACTATATGACTCCATCATATCTATAATGATTTGATTGTGTTTTTTATCACCATCTTGATTTTCTTGTCCAAACTTCCTTAATATGCAGGCTTTTCTAACTATACTAAAATATAACAAGTTCTATATTTATAAAATTCCCACAGATCAACACCAGAGATTTTGTAATGCTTTTAGATATTATCATATAGTAAATGTAAGAAATCCTGTATATTCAAAAGTAAGTTTATATATACAATATACTGACGCATGAAAAGAGATTTAATATAAACCTCAAGAAGAAATTAAAAGTAAAATCTAAGAATATCTGGCAACAACAATTCCAATTCAAGGTTTTTTGCAAACTAATTATGCATAACTCAGCCCATCTCAAATCTCAAGATCTGTTCAAGCAACTCAGACCTTTCAACAACTAATAAAAAAGATGATCATAGCTGATACTAATCCATCTTCCAATGCAATCACATAGAAAAAAGTCTCAGAAACTATCAATAAAACTAACATAAAGCTTGTAGAACTTCAATGAATCTATAATTCTACTAATGACCTAGAAATTTGAAATAATTTAGCAGAATACATAGCAAATCTTAAGAAAATTTTACGCAATGAGGATAATAAAATTAAAAATTAAAGTGTCAAGCAAGCTATCAACATAAAAGCAGGGAAAAAAAGTAAAGCTTCTACAAGAACATCAAAAAATAATACAATACAAATCATTTGATCATTCATCCCTTTTGATTCAATATCTCAATTTGTATAAACATATACATGAATATATCAAGTTTAGAGTTGCAGATAAAAAAAAGAAAAAAAGAAGTTATTGAAGTTAGAACCATCTGCCATCTCTAAGAAGAACTCAATTCAAAATATAATAAATACCTTTTTCATATCACCCCTAGTAATTACCTTCTATAATCTTAATTAAATTCTATAGCTGCAAAGGCTCATCACTATCTAGCTAATATTGCTATTTCTTCTGTTTCTCAAGATGAAAAAAAAGAACATTCTGATGAACACTATTGTCTTGCATTTGTAAAAGAAGCAAAACAATTTGTAGCTTTATTTCTGACCTATTCTATTATTATTTTCCAGGATTATAAAGCCAAGATTCCTCTTGGTATTCTCACAGTTAGAAGAACTTTTCAGATCATATAGAGTTTTTGAGAATCAGTTATATTATCTGATCACAATTTTCCAATTAGAATGCAATAAAAGCTTATTTCATTAGTCTATTTGCTTATTAACCTAAACAATATAAATGATACTTTTCATAATGGCCAACTTTTAATTTTCATATGTCTATAATACCAAGTTGATACAAGCTCAATCTCTCATATAAGTGATTTGACTTCACTAATAAAAGATAGGTGTCTATCTAAAAACTAAAGAATAGTGAAATGATGGCTCCTAGTGATAATAATACTATGAATGAAGATCAGACCTTTAATGTGTCTAAAAATATGCTAAATGATAAAGGTACTAATAAAAATACTATTACATTTGAAAGAGTTAGAGATGCAATCACCTTTTATATTTACTGCATTACAGAAACATTTCTTCCCAATAAATCCTTTTACAAAAAGACCAATAAAGCTTACAAATTGTTCAATAATGTAGAATGCCTCTCATTCATTAGTGCATAAGTGAAGCAGAATCCTGAAAATAAACATTAAAAATTATCTGATTAGGATTTATAACACGCAAAGATGCAAATCATGCTATTGCTGCTAAAATTCCTAATATGAAAACAGTCATATTTAAACCTTTTATTATATCAGCCTCATTCAAGTTTGACCTGAGTTTGTCGATTAAGATAACTGAAATTCCTATTTCCACTTCTGAACAAATCATTTGATCAATATTTACCTGATTTGGCATGATCATCAAGTGCTCTATGATGATGAAAAAACTTTGGCAATAAGCAACCATCTCGTATATACCTGAAGCAGATCTATCATTTTTTGATATACATGCTGGTATCTTCATTTTAAAAGATATGGTTAGAGTATGTGTGTACTCACTATCTAATGATGAAATTAGAACTAAATCTCAATTCACCTTAAAACTTACTAATCTTCCAAAAAATACAACAGGTCGAGAATTAGAACTAATTGAAAAGGTCATGAATGCAGCCACCTAGGTGATTCTCAAAGCCAGATCAAACTACAGGAACCTTTAATATGCTTTTATACACTTTTGTAGTAAAGAGGATATAGAGGCCGCAAAAAATGGAAACCCGATCATTTTGATAATTGAAAACTTATATGGACTGTGCTAAATATCAATTTGTATGCTTACTGTTCTATCCTAGAACATGACTCACATAACTGCAGGAAAAGAAAACCCACCCTAAAAGATAGACAAACTTAAAACTTATATCAAAGATTCAAACTTGCACAATTTAAAATTATTTAGCATCTGCATCACGTTCTAAAGTTATCTTTATCTATGATCAAAATACAATGTTCAATTCTAACAATCCAAAATCTTTTACAAACAAAACTAAAGGTACTAAATCTATGGTTACCCATAATTCAACTTCTCCCATCAACATCACAAAACTAAAACAATCATCTCTTGACAAATTAATCCATGCTCATAAATTATGGTCAGAACAGATGAAAGAGGAGGATATTTTATATAGATCGATCAAAACACCTGCATATGAATTTACCAATACACAGAAGATTTTAAATAAGTTAGATGCTATTACTATAACACTAGTTATACTTCATAATAATCTTGCCTTCTCAATATACTGTCTCAATGAAGTTGAAAAATATCTTAATATCTTCACTTTCACCTCTAAAAAGCTGCAGAACTTAATAAAGCCAATAAAGCAGAAGATATTATAAATACTGATACTGTTTATAAACCTGAAGTAGACATCTCAGACTCTAAAGTAACTGAACATGAAAAAAATATTGCTTTACTATACAAAGAAAATGAAGAATTACATGTTTATTATAAAGTTATAGTTGAAAAACTCAATGTTGCTCTTTAAGCTATAGCTAATATTCAAAACATAGTGTTTGATGAAATTCATCCTAGCCACAAAATTCTAATTCCTAAACTCAATTTACCTGGTACTATTAACACTTTAGAAGATGATACAGACAGTGATATACATTTTTGATGTCTCAGAGATTTGTTGTTCCAGCTATATGTCCTAGCTATTTGTCTCAACCTATTCCACACTATGTTTTAATATTCTATCTATCCCATCAGTGTCCCATCAATGTCCCATGACAACATTGGGTACAAAGGTCCTAGCCCTAATTTATTTTTTAAATAATCATGATCTCACAATCATTTAATACAAAAATGGTGCCTTTTACTCTTAATATCGCAATCCATAATATTCTTTTTTTATTCTACCATACAAACAACAAATCCTTTTAATCTTTATACTATTCACAAGTTAGATATTATCACTTTATAAGAAACAAACTTCAAAAATCCATCTCATATACACTCCTTAAAACCCATTTGTTTTGATAAATTTGTTTTCTTTTTTAATATAGACCTCTCCTCTCAAAGTATATGTTTCAGAGTTGGTTTTCTTGTAAAAAACACTTGGCTAACCACGTGTTTCACCACATATTCTTTTATTATTGCATCTATTTACTTGATTTTTAATTCAAAAATAAAACTAATTTCTGGATTATCAACATTTATATTTCTAGTTTGAATATTCAATTACGTTACAAAACCTACAGGAAAATAGTAAATCTTATAAATAATGCTCACTAAAAAAGCTCCTTAGTAATTCTTATTGAAGATTTTAACTATGATCTATCAAAAGTATATAACTTCACAAACTTAAAGAACTTTTTTGAGACGCTCAATAATCTATATCTGATAAATAACTTGGATCTGATCAAAAATCAAAAGTCAACCTATAAGCTTATTATCTACATGACCAATACTGACTGTTCTACTATTGACTACATATTTATTTATTCGACACTTGTCCCTAATCTTATAAATTAAGTAGTTATCAAGGTTGATAATGATAAATCTGACTATGCTATAGTTCATGCTACAATTTTATTAACAACGATCAACCTTCATTTGTACAACAGATAACAATAAAAAAACTAGTTTTTCAATACTAGGATATGTTTAATGACGATTAGAATGCCTTTGGTATTTCAGTGGATCACAGATGTAAGAACACTAGATTAAATCTCTTCATACTAAATAATATTCGTATTATTCACTACCTTAATTTTTATTAGGATCTGTTACAAAAATCAATTATTGATACTGCTATTAAAACTATCCTAATAAATATACTTCACATCATGCTTAAGACCTAAGATCACGCATCCTCAAATTAATATATAAATGTATCAAAATAGTACAAAAACTTTGTAAATTAAGTAACAAATACATCATCTAGAATAGTGTTGACTTTAAATAGATTATTCTTTACAACAAAATATGCGTTTTTTTAACAGAATTTGATATAATACTTTTGAATATAAGTTAACTGTATATTGATAACATTCGCATCATCAAGTTGCAGTTAATAGACCTTCACAAAATACTTTCAACAACTGCTAAGCTTAACGAAGTTGAGTTTAAGACAAAACAATTAATAAAGCTATTGAACGTTATTGTGTTAACATGATTGATGATTAGAAATCTATGTTCAATTCATTATTAGAAAAATCTCGCAGTACTATTCTATTAGATAGATGTATAAATAATAGTAGTCCAGATAAAGAATTCTTTACAGACTTCAAAGATGTTCAAAAATAAACAGCACATCATTTCTAACAAGTGGTTGGCTCATAATATTCTAACCCATTACTTTCAGAGGCAAGGGAGCAAGTTTATATCCCTGATGAATTAATTGATCCTGATATCTATAGATTGTTAATGCAACCCCTGATTGAAGAAGAGTAAAATAATATTATTAAGGCGTTCCCTAATGATAAAGCCTCTGAACTATCAAAAATATCAAATGAAATACTAAAACATCTCAGTCCCTTTTCATCAAAATGTTTCTGGATCATTATTTGTAAATACTTTGCTCTCAATTTATCACCAAGTAGATGGAATTTAGCCTTTGTTTATCCCATTCCCAAACCCAAACCTTAGGAATATAATCTTACAAATACTTGTCTAATCACCTTGTTGGAATGCTCACAGAAAGTACTAACCAAATTAATCAATGGTTGACTGTTAAAGATCTAGTTTGTTAATAATATCCTAAAAGAAAATAATTTTGCTAGCCTCTCTTGCAAAAACACTTTTAAACCAATTCATATTTTTGATAACATCAAATACAATGCTTCATTTCACTGCAACAATCTGTGAATACTTTTCTAAGATATGTTAAAGACTTATAATTATATCAACATTACTATGTTAATTAGAGCTCTAGATCATTTATGCATCCCAAAAACTTTCATTAGACTTTTAATTTCAATCTTCCTTTCTCATTTTAACCAAGTTTTATCATGTACAATAATACTGATACTATTTAGTCCTTTCAGGAATTGATTAAGGAGAGATTATTTCTCCTATTTTATGATGTATATATTATAATCCCCTATTATGTTTTATATAAAATTCACCCTACAACTATACCTAACATATTAATTGAAGAGCTGATATCATTAAACAAAAGATACAAAGTTTTTCAAATCATGTTACTGTTCTCGCTTATATAGACGATATACTCTGGATAGCTAATTCTAGGATTGACCTTTAAAATATAATGATTATTGCTGATTTGTTCTACATCCTGAATAGCATACAAATTAACTGGAATAAATCAGTGCTGATGATCAATAATATAGACCTTAATCCTATTAATTTTAAATTTAATAACAAAGACATTTGGCTTTCTCTGCTCTTACACAAAGAATTCACAAAATACTTAGGAGTATAAGTCTCCCTTTTTAACAATAATCAATTCGTTATAAATCAGATTTAGGATGAATTCAAGAAAACAAAAACTGTACTTAACAAGAAAAAACTTACAGCCAAACATATAGTTACAATATTTAATGTAATAGTAATCCTTATATATTATACAAAACTAAACTCACATTTATTTCTCATTCTACTTATGACATTCTGTTAACATTCTTTAGAACTTTTTTAAAAAGAAATTGGGTCCCTCAAGATTCATACCAGTA